ACATTTGTATCTCCTGTGACCCTGACAATCGTTCCTTTTTTAGTCGGTTTTTTGCGACCGTATTAAGTCTTTACAAATGATTAGGACATGAACGCTTTTGATATAGTACGTAATGATATAATAAAATAATAAATTCTGATAGAAAATATCTTGCTCGTATTAATGATACGTTCAAATGCATGATATGATTAAGAACAGGAGTGCATAATCTTTTTTGACTTAAATGACATTTTTATTGTATTTTATTTTATTTCATTTTATATTATTTTATTTTATTTTACTTGAAAGAAATGAATAATATGACGAATATGAATAATATGAAAATGATTATAATAGAATAAAATGAATATGATTAGGTTTTTCAGATTTTATTTAGTTGAGGAGGATTTGATTTTTCAAGAATATTTTTTTTTTTCGATTCTTCATATATATTAATAATTATGTATTAATTTTTAATAATAAATTAAAAATAAGTAAATATAATAAAAACTTAAAGAAATTGTCATTTTTAAATATATCAGTCCTTTTATTATTATTATTATTATTATTATTATTATATTTGAACAATTAAAAATTAATGAAATTAATATATAATTGATAAAAAATGAGAGATTGTGCACTCTCGAATGGTGGGAAAAAGAAAGAAAAAATAAAAACTTAAATCTCGTTAGGAATTTAATATTGCGAATGCGCTGGTATTTGAACCCCTTTCCACACAACTAATGTCTGTTGTAAAATTTCTATCACTGTAAAATTTCAATTGGAGAAGTACAATAATTAGTGATCGTAACGATTTGGATAAAAAAGGAATGGTGAAAGAAACAGGAAACTAATTAGTACTTAAGTCAATCCAGTTAATGAGTAAGATTTTCAAATATTCCTTTAGACTATTCATACTATAAAATAAACTCATAATGTTCTTTCTAGAAAAAAAAAAAATGAAGAAAAAAAATATAGAAAGGAAGAGAAAAACACTTCAGATACAAAAGGATTTAAAATCAATAAAAATGAAAATGAGGTTACTTTACGCAGATAAAAATTCCCTAGAAAAACTGGTAATGAAATATAAAAAATAGAGAGAATTATTTCGTTAATATTGAAAATGAAAACAATAAGAAAGTTTATCTTTATAAGAGAAAGAACAATTTGAGTTTTTCAGTGTATATAAATCAAAATTCTAATTTTTAACTTAACATATTAAGTAGTAAATTATAATGTCTAATGGATCGAAGATTGTGCGAAATGGTTATAATCCCGAAATCCAATAGTGCTAATAATGGCTGTGATATGGAATAAGAAAAAAATTAACGAGAGAAATGAAAAAAAGTGAAGTATCCAGGATATATAACGGATAATATGCTCTTTTTTTTCGCTTTTTTGCTGTTTTCTTTTTTCTTATCTTTTTCTTGCAACAATAAAATTTTATTGTTTAATTCTTGTCTTAAAAGCTTGAAAAAGGTTATTTGAAATATTATATTCAAAATACTTACTTATAAATTATATAGGATTTAATATAAAATTTGAAAAAATTATAAAATTTTATTATTTATTTATGAAGATTTTTACAGTTGACATCAGAGCGATGAAATTGGGGAGACAGAGAATAAATTCTCGGTTGAAAATGCCTGCGACATTCCCAATAATATATTCATCGTATTTTTCTCTTTCTTCTTTAGAAATGAATATTTAAAAGAAAAAAGAAGTTTTCAAAAGATACATTCATGATCGATATTTTACTGTAATAAATCGATCTCATTTTAACGAGAAATCTGATTCTAGCATTTAAAATAAATAAATGATTGAAAAGTTGCAGAGTGAACCGGAAGTAACATTATCTATTCAATAAGAAGATGATTCATTATATTGAAACCAATCATATAATTACCGAATATAATTTTTTATTTATAAAATTTTTTTGAAGGAAAAAAAAATGCGGTTCGTAACATAACCTAATTAAGCGTTTCTTATTATTTCCTGTTTACTCTGTGCATTAATAAAGAAACACGTATACATACTATATAATAAAATATATTATATTGATATAGTAGAAAATTATGATTATGTACATGTTGTATGGATAAGCTAAATAACAATTGTATGAACATTACCATTTAAACGTGTTCAATGCGTGTAATACGGAATGTGTGAAGTTATATTGAGAAACTGGCCTAATAATACACATGACTTTTGTGCTGATGATTTAATTTATTCGTGGTTCCAATATCATCATATCCAAAAAAAGAGAAAATCATACGAAAATCAATAAAGGAACCATCGTCTTCATCAGGACAAAATAACATCAGGAACAAAATATATTTGTTCAAAACTTCTATCAAACACGTCCCTATATAAGTATCTCATACCTTTCTTATCCTTGTTGCTACAGGGATCTGAGTGATTCTGTAGACAGTCATTAAATTTGATTAAAATAATTAGAAATCAATAATCAACATCTGTCCACTTTATTCTATACTATATACCATCACCTATTTTTACATTTTAGTATCCTTTGAATCGTTCCATTCTCTAAAAATTTAAAAAAAAAATAATTTCAAGTAATTTTCAAAATATTAATTGCTATAATATTTTCAGGTGCTGGAGGTGGTCTAGGCGGTGGAGGAAGAGGCAGAGGTATTGGAGGTCCGCCAGGAATGGGCATAGGTATTAGTGGAGGTGGACCAGGAATGTTAGGAAGAGCAGGAGGTGGTTTCGGGCCGCGTGGCGGGCCACACGGCAGCTTTCTTGGCGGAAGTGGCGGTCCAGGCGCTATGAGGATGGAAAAAATTCATCCGCATCGCTTTAATCCTATTGGTATGGGCGGCGGCTATGTGCAGTCGCACTTCTGGTGACCTAGTATCGTCGACGATCTGGTTAGCAAGACAGCACCGGCTACGTACCTTTCTTCGTTCAATCGGAGATCAAGCAACGGCAATTGTTGTCGTTTGTAACTTTGCCGAATAAACATACGTTCCCCTCGAGCGATCGTGAAGTCATGGAGATATGGGAATGCATCAGGATCGAGAAAGGTTGCCGTCATAAATAGTATAATGACAGACAAAGACAACAGGGTATAAGTCTAGCAACCTAGTCCTCAATTATGATTTCCTTTGTCTCCTACGACATTCAGATTGAGATGCTTGAGGACTGACTGATCAAGGATATGTAAATTATTATGCATAGTATTTAATAATATTTTTACGTGCCTGAACCAAAGCTCAGAATACTTAGTATTGTAGATACATGTGGCGATAGATATTCAGTTTTAAAATTTGTTCGAATATTTCGAGATCTTAGATACGATTGAAAAAATAATTTGAAATTATAATCCATTCGAAGCCCTTTAAGTAGCATAAATAAATAATATAACTTTATTGTGAATTTTTTAAAGGTGAAGCTTATAATTGTTACATTTTTTATTTTTTGTTTATTTTTTTGTCAATTTTTCTTTTTTCGAAGTTTTCAAAACTCATTGAAAGAATTAATTCCAAGATCTCGAAGCAGTTTATTAGATAAAATTTTGGATAATGATAGAAGAGTGTAAAGCTGGTCTTATCGCTATTTCTTTATTGCTTTTTATAGTTAAAGTTTCTTCTTCCTTCTCTAGCTTTAATGTCTTCTCTAATGTTGCATTGTGCGTTTAAATTAGTGGCGTTTATTCTCGCCAATTAAATAATGCACGTTGAATATTATAAAATGTTAAGGTACAAAAAAAATGAAAAAAGGGGGGAAATAATATTTGGTTATCGAGTTGTTGTCTATTTTGGGCATAATCAGACTCGATGATGAAGTTATGTCGTGCTAAATTAGCTCTGTTATTGCGTCCCTAAGATCGTTAATAGGCGAATTTTTATGAGATTTTATTTTTTTGACACTCAAAACGCGTATAAATATTTTTCTTCTATATTACACTTAAAAAAATCGTTAAGGCATACTGCAGGCTAAAATCTCAACATATTATTTTATTTAATAACAAAATATTATAAAATGTTTCTAATTTTAAATAACAAATCGATATAGTATACAATATTTTAGAACTGTTCAATGATTTCAGTTGTAACAAATTTTCTCTTAAAAAATGTAGATAATATTGTAATAATTATTCAGACTCATTTAGACTCATACATTTATTCAGAAACTTTGAATAGTTCTATTATTTTTTTTTTTTTTTTATATCTGAATTAAAAGCTGTCTAAAGCTTAATAATTCTTATCAAATGGACAGTATCAAGATTTAATTGTTTATTTAGGCTAATAAATATAGATATTCCTGTTGTTAATTATTTTATTATAATCTAATGAAGTACCTGTTATTAATTTAAAATCTTTATCCATTCGTTAACAAGTCAGACAATTTTCATACTTTTGGCCAGCAGCGTGTCTCTTATTGTATTTCAAATAAATTGTCACACGATATTATCCTCTTAGCTTTGGTCAGTTTCACGATCGCTCGAGTACTATTTATAAAGACCAGCTAAAAGCTGAACTTTATTGGAAAAGATCTCCTTTTTCTTTGATAGTTCAATGTTTTAATATTTTTGAATGAGAAGGAAACGGGGACACGTTGAGGGCAGAAGCTAAGAGTTTTACATGTTGTTGTATATTTCCTTTTTAATGGTTCTAACTCTTGAAACTTTATCAAACGTTTAACGTTAAGAAAAAGAGTTTTTATCAGATAGTATATAAGGAGACTGTGTTTCTTATGCTCCGAATGGCGTTGGACCTCGATGGTTGCAAAGAAACAATGTTGTTAAGCAGTTTTTTAATTTTTAAAATAATAATGTAAAACCGATCAAATGTTTACAAAACTTTCGAACTTATTTTTGTATGATTAAGATATATAATCTTTAGATCGTCATTCGTGTACTTAAAAAAATATAAAAAGAATGAAAAAAGCACCATCGTTGTCCACTGGAATCGCCGCAAAATGTACATAAATCATAATGGAAACACGTCATTATTACGGCATGTCGTAGACAAAAATGAGACTGACTTTTTATAGGGGACTACGCGAACAATTTTAAAAATCGAAATTGTTTTATTATTATCTCAAAGCAAGCGCGCTAGATTTTCATTTTTTCTTCTATATTTCTCGATTCTTATTTTTCTTTTCTTTCTATTTTAATTGCAACGGGAAGTAAAAACTAAATGCTTTCTATTGCAACTGCATTCATAATAAACATAACAAACATTGCACTTTACATTATTTGATTAAGCAATGAATATGAATTTAAAAAAAGAAAAAATTACTATGATATTCGTACTAAATTTTTTCATATTGACGATTAAGTTCTTGTTTTGTAATTTTCATAACATGATTATCAATATGATTTTGTTAACATTTATATGATCATTTATATACATATACGTTCTCTCTCTCTCTCTCTCTCTCTCTCTCTCTCTCTCTCTCTCTCTCTCTCTCTCTCTCTCTCTCTCTCTCTCTCTCTCTCTCTCTCTCTCTCTCTCTCTCTCTCTCTCTCTCTCTCTCTCTCTCTCTCTCTCTCTCTCTCTCTCTCTCTCTCTCTCTCTCTCTCTCTCTCTCTCTCTCTCTCTCTCTCTCTCTCTCTCTCTCTCTCTCTCTCTCTCTCTCTCTCTCTCTCTCTCTCTCTCTCTCTCTCTCTCTCTCTCTCTCTCTCTCTCTCTCTCTCTCTCTCTCTCTCTCTCTCTCTCTCTCTCTCTCTCTCTCTCTCTCTCTCTCTCTCTCTCTCTCTCTCTCTCTCTCTCTCTCTCTCTCTCTCTCTCTCTCTCTCTCTCTCTCTCTCTCTCTCTCTCTCTCTCTCTCTCTCTCTCTCTCTCTCTCTCTCTCTCTCTCTCTCTCTCTCTCTCTCTCTCTCTCTCTCTCTCTCTCTCTCTCTCTCTCTCTCTCTCTCTCTCTCTCTCTCTACCTATCTATCTATCTATCTATCTATCTATTTATCTATCTATCTATCTATCTATCTATCTATCTATCTATCTGTCTGTCTGTCTGTCTGTCTATCTATCGATCTATCTATCTATCTATCTATCTATCTATCGATCTATCTGTCTATCTATCTATCTATCTATCTATCTATCTATCTATCTATCTATCTATCTATC